TCGTACGACCTAACGCGCACCCATCCCGGGCTTTCTAGATCCTAGTATAGAAATATATTTGGCATTCATTTATGTTTGACTGTGTCTGTCATAGGACGTCACTTTCAATCAAAGTGCTCCGATTATTTATGCAAGTGTCAGGCGTACATCCGAATGGTTTAGGTGTCGAGCCCCAATCCACTTTGAGGAAAGGAAGCTTACGTATTAATCGCAAATCTTATTGTGGGTAGATAGACGACAGTATCCTTAAGTTTCCATGATTTTTTTAAACCGACGGGTAAGTAACGCGGACCGATATCAGCTGAAAGGCCGATCAGGCAATTTGAGAGCGGCATTAAATTTGCTTCGTTAATAAATTCGAGCATTTCTCTTTAACTTGGGAAAAAACGTGTCAAGGAGTGCAAGCACTAACGTTGAACTTCATTGTCCTTGAGCATATAAATAACATGACATGGGATTAGAAACCCTCGTGGACCCTCCCTTAGTTTCCGAGGAGATAGTGTTTAGGGTTGAGGCATGGCCATAGTAAAGGGTGAAGTTACGACACGTAGACGCGATCGCGCGGACAAAAACCTGATTTGCTTCACGTTTCGGATTCCAGCTTGAACCCATGATCTTTATTTGATGTTGTCTCTGAAGATGGGTCTGAGTAAAAATCCGAAACGTCGGACGACTAAAGTTCCTTTCCAATCGCTCGCATGTATTTCATCTCAGTTACTTCCAGGGAATTGTGGTTAGATTTACGGTTAGAGTTAGGGTTATGACTAGAGCTAAGACAAAGGAACATTTACTTTTCTTGAACTCTTGCACTAAATTCCCTTTCCACCCGACGTGGTTCCTATTTCCGTGCCCTATCATATCGTATGTGTTATAAAAGTTGAACATTATGCATACTACTGAACATACTCATTGTCCACGAAACCCACCCACCCTGCCCGACGCAATCGTTTGATTTTGACGTTATACCTGGCCAACTGTCAGCTCACTGGCGGTCGATCCCTGGGCAGTAGTGGACTCAAGACTGTCGATTAAGGATAAGAAGGAAATCCCGATCTTAATCTGCTTTGCTTATTATTTTTCAACACGATAACTGACCTTTATGAACTATGTTAGGTGGGTGTTCAACAACCTTTCATCTCCAAGACTGTTCTTTGAACACGGCTCTCTTTGCATCGCGCCCAAGGTAAGGATTGTTTAAAGGACCCCTGAACAGGACACGGGCATATGAGTGCTCCACCCAAGTAAAGCAAACAAGAAAAGCATAATTTCAGGAAGGGTAAATATTCCAGTGCTCAAAACCCCAATACTAGCCCTAACGTACGGCTAGACCGTAGCTCAAATCTGAACCCCAACCCTAACCATAAACCTAACCTCATTTTCGCAGGAATTTGGCAGAAAGAGACCTGCGTTGCCGGAGGTTCCGGTCTTCATCTGCTGTCTAAGTGTCCGTATAAGTCATTCTTGCTCCCTCCTGGGTCTCTGTGACATGATTTGGGTTTTCATGAGGAATCAAAATGTACTTGCCAGAAGCATACAAAACGGAAATCAATGTCATATCGGCGGGGTGGTTGGTTTTCAAGGTCATTTTAGCAGCTTTGTTGTTCTGGTTTCTTCTATGCATTTCTGAGCTCCACTGTAAAGTCCTCTTTATTAACGCGGGAACTAGAATGTAAAAAATTACCGGCATATTTGC